TACCCGGAATGGTGGGGTGACAGGCCCAGATTCCAGACAGCTGGACGCGGGACAGGCCGTGGAGGAGCAACCCGAGGCAGACAAGGGGGCAGAGGCTCGGGAGGAGGACGCGGCAACTGTCTAGTCAACGGCGGTGGCGTGACAGGTCCAGTCGCTCATACAGCCCGCGCAGGAGGAAATAACGGACAGCAGGAGACAATCACTTCCCAACAATGGAACACTTTAATGGAATTGTTGAAAGAGAAAGAGGTGGCTCTTGACAACAAATTCTCAGGTATTTCTACCTCTTGGATAATTGATAGCGATGCTAGTCAGCACATGACGGGAGACAAAGGAGAATTGAAAGACATTGAGCAAATAACTCCATGTTCGGTTGGGTTACCAAATGGAGAACGAGCGACGGCAGGGCATAAAGGGAGTGTTTGTTTGAATGGGAAAATTACACTGAAAAATGTGTTGTTTGTGCCTAAGCTTAACTGCAACCTTATATCTGTTTCGCAACTTCTAGATGACAAAGGACTAATTGTTTTGTTTATTAATAAAATCTGTCTTATACAGGACTGTGCCTCGAAGATGGTGATTGGGATGGGTAAGCAGCTTGGAGGAATATACTACTTCCAGAAGGGTGTGAGCAATAAAGTCTGTACTGTGAAGGCGGCTGAAGATGCGGATATCTGGCATAAGAGATTAGGACATCCCTCTCATACTGTTGTTCAACTTTTACCCCAAGTACTTCCTACCAAAAAGAATGTTCATAATATTCCTTGTGATGTTTGCTTTCGTTCAAAACAATGTCGTGATTCCTCTCCTGAAAGTTCAAATAAATCTCTTGTTCCTTTCTCCTTAATTCACTGTGATTTGTGGGGTGGTTACAGAACTCCTACTCGAACTGGGGCTAAATACTTTTTGACTATTGTAGAGGACTTTTCTCGGGCAGTTTGGGTCTATCTACTTAACAATAAAGATGAAACTCCCTCTGTTCTCCATAATTTTTTTGTGATGGTGGAACGTCAATTTGATAAAAAGGTCAAGGTCATTCGTAGTGATAATGGAACTGAGTTCACATGTATGAAACCTTTCTTTCAGTCACAAGGAATCCTTTTTGAGTCCTCCTGTGTAGGAACCCCTCAACAAAATGGGAGAGTGGAACGCAAACATCGTCACATTCTTAACGTGGCGCGTGCCTTGCGCTTTCAAGCAAACCTTCCCATCAAGTTTTGGGGAGACTGCATCTTGACCGCTGGTTATCTCATCAACCGTACACCCACACACTTACTTCAAAACAAAACTCCTTACGAAATGTTGTTCGGGCAACCTCCCTCATATTCTCATCTTCGAATTTTTGGATGCCTAGCCTATGCACATAACCAAAAACATCGTGGAGACAAGTTTGCTAGTCGCTCACGAAAATGCCTTTTCCTTGGTTACCCCTTTGGCCAAAAAGGTTGGCGACTGCTCGATTTGGAAACCAATCAAATTCTGATTAGTCAGGATGTCAAATTCGTCGAGCAGTCGTTCCCATACTCTTCCACTCAATCTGCAGATGACACCCCCAAAACCTCTTCAACTGAACACTTCGTGTTTGAACCGGCTGACGATGAGGCAGCACCGGCTGTGCCTAGGGAACACTTCACGCCGTCGTCGTCTCAGCCAGTTCCCATTCCCGTCAAGGACACCACTAGAGCCGATGAAACTGAAACTCGCCCCACCAATAATGAACCCTTGACCACCGATAATACCACCGAACCAGATTCCCTCGATACCACCGAACCAGATTCCCTCGTCGCAGAACCCACTACTCTCTTACGTCGGGGAACACGCGAACGGAAGCCTTCCACACGGCTACGAGACTTCGTTGTTCACACCATTCAACAACCTCAAGCTGCATCTCCATTCCCTGATCCACCTTCAGGTACGGCTCACTGTATTACAAATTTTATTAATTATAACAATTTTTCCTTGTCACATAGATGTTTCCTAGCAGCTATAAGTGTAGAGGTGGAGCCCACACATTTTTCAGAGGCTGTGAAGCACTCTCATTGGCGAGCAGCAATGAAGGAAGAAATGAGATCATTGGAGACAAATAAAACATGGAGTCTCGTGCCCCTCCCTCCAGGGCGTAAAACAATTGGGTGCAAATGGGTGTTCAAAATCAAGCATAAGTCAGATGGTTCTATTGAGCGATATAAAGCACGCTTGGTCGTACTTGGGAACAAACAAAAGGAGGGCATTGATTTTAAAGAAACTTTTGCTCCTACAGCCAAGCTTGTCACCATTCGTACCTTGTTGGCTCTGGCTGCTGCTAGGAACTGGCACTTACATCAAATGGATGTACACAATGCTTTCTTGCATGGAGATCTTAAAGAGGAGGTGTTTATGCAGCTACCGCCGGGCTCTTCCTCACGCTATAATGGGCTGGTCTGTCGACTACGCAAAGCCTTGTATGGATTGCGCTAGGCACCACGGTGTTGGTTTGCTAAGCTAACATCCTCCTTACGCCGGTTTGGGTTTCAACAATCTAAAGATGACTATAGCTTGTTTACTTACGTCGGGGGGGGGGGGAATAGAACTCTTTGTATTAATTTATGTTGATGATTTGGTGATTGCGGGAACCAATGAGACCTTCATACATAAATTTAAACACTATCTTTCTGAGTGTTTTCATATGAAGGACTTGGGAGAACTTAAATATTTCTTGGGGATAGAAGTGGCTCGAAACTCCCAAGGCATTTTTCTATGTCAACGCAAATATGCTCTGGATATTTTGACCGAGTCTGGTATGCTTGGAGCTCGTCCGGCCAGCACACCATTGCCTTTCAATCATCATCTTGCACTCGCCACTGGTGCCGAACTCGCCTCTCCTGGCCGTTATCGACGTCTAGTTGGCCGCCTGATCTACTTGACAATTTCTCGGCCAGATTTGTCATATGCAGTGCATACTCTCTCACAGTTTATGGGTACACCGCGTCTGGAGCATTGGGATGCCGCACAGCATGTTCTTCGATACTTGAAATCAAGGCCAGGTCAGGGCCTTTTTCTACCAGCTGATTGTGATATGACTTTCACTGCTTACTGCGACTCTGACTGGGCTAGTTGTCCGCTAACGCGGCGTTCCATTTCTGGTTACTTTATAAAACTTGGCAATTCTCCTATTTCTTGGCGCACAAAGAAGCAACGTACCGTCTCCCGTTCGTCTGCTGAAGCCGAGTACCGTGCAATGGCTACCACTGTATGTGAACTAAAATGGTTACGGTCCCTTCTTCTTTCGTTTGGCATCCCGGTTCGACTACCTATGAATCTTTTCTGTGACAGTCAAGCAGCTCTTCACATTGCAGCTAATCCCGTGTTTCATGAAAGAACCAAGCATATTGAAATTGATTGGCATTTTGTGCGTGATGAAATTCAGCGTGGCATTTTGCAAACGACACATATTGCTTCTGTTGATCAACCTGCTGACATGCTGACCAAGGCCCTTCCTGCTACACCTTTTCATCATTTGTTGTCCAAGCTGGGTACTCGTGATCCACACGTACCCGCTTGAGGGGGGATGTTACGAAGCACATACGTGCGCTGCACACATACAGGTGTTGCATCTGCTGGCCGAACTCCACTCCTTGGAGTATTAGGACTCTTTGTCTATTTTGTTTCCTTTTCTAGTTTGGTAGCCAATTAGTTTCCTAGTAGGATTATGACTCTCTGGTTTCTCTCCTATAAATAGAGGAGATTACCTTGTAAAAGGGAGAACAATTTAATATACACAAGAATTTCCCTCTTATCAATTTCTACAAGACGCAAGAATGAATGAAAAATATACGACCCTCTCATCCGTCATTAACGTACACTTCGCATCGCAAAGAATGAAACTGATCTGCATCGCAAAATTGTACGAAAGTGAGACGACTATGAAGAAACGATAATTGTTGAGAAACATCTGTGAAGCCGATGTCAAAGATACTCATGTGGACTCAAGACGATCTAATCGCTGATTCAAACACGAACTTAACGTTTAGAATCTATAAACTCTGTTATCTAAAGTATCCCATTCTAATGTCTAACTCATTAAGATGCTAATATGCGATTATATCTTAGGATTCGAAATTGTTCGTTAAGCGACAACTCCTTGTAAAACCTCATTGAAATACCATACAAGGAATTTGACAATTATCATTAGTATACATTGGCTGATCGAACGATGTTGGTATTGACAACTCTTGACGAAGATTTCTTCAACTGAAGATCGATGATCGAAACCTTATATAGGTGAAAGCAAAGCTGATTTCTAAACCGACCGAGTTATCTCGAATTTATGTGCACAAACCTTTTAACCAAAAGGAGCATAAAGTCTTTTCGTGTGATACGTGAAAGAAAGATCTAAACTGAAGGACCAATATTCGTAACTCTATATTGAATGTGTTTCCATCAATGACTTCTTGGCAAAGAATCATCTGATCAAGTGTTTCCTCCTTGGGAGAATACCTGTTTTGTTCATACGCGAATCAATAAGACTCTATATCAACTACTGAACAATTCATTATCCTTTACCTCGTATCATGACTTATTTGATCAGCTTAGAGAATCCATTGTATTCTCTAAGATTAACTTACGGTCAGGATACTAACAAATCTCTGTTAAGAAACTTGAACAAACTGACGATCGAGAATTGCTATCCTTTACTATAAACTGATTATTCGATCAAATTCAAAGAATCTGCTTGTTAAAAGCTATAGACAACTCAACCTTGTTGAATGAACTGATGCCTTGTTATGAAGTGATTAATGACCTAATTACTTATCATCGGAAACGTCAATGTAATCTAATTGAATAATTGAAGTAATAAAGTGATGCTTACAAGACAAATCAATAAGATAGTTGACTCGTTTTGATATCCTATTGACGTGAAAGATCGCGACCGAGATGATGATACAAAATATGACGTGAAACAGTGACACCAACAATGAAAGACTGAAGAATGAAGAAAATGTAGTTCGCGCTGACCATACAACGTTAAATAATATTTATGGATAGTATTATTTCAACACAAAATACAACTTGGATTACATGAGGAAAGTTACAGATGCAATTCTAAGTCTAGTCTTCGAGGATTCACAAATTCATCGTAACTAACCCCTGGACCCGGGAAAGCTTTAGCAAACTCTAGTTTGTCTAAAAGCTCATCAACAAAGAAAGAAGAAATGAAAAGTTTTCTCTCATTCAAAGCCATGAAGTTCTGCCTCATCGCATTGTCTAGAAATTTGATTAGGTTATTGAAATAACCGTCAACATTCAAGAGACCAATGGGTCTATTGTGTAACCCTTCAGAAGCCCACGAGATCAAAGTGAATAAACCTTCCATAGTGTCAACTCCTTCGGGAAGGACGATGAAAGCTTCCACGGCATGATTCATCTCAAAATATTTGTAATAGTTGCTGGAAACTGTATGCTCTACACCATACGTAGGTCCATAGATACGTCGTATTGCTATGTACCCAGGAATGAAACCTCTAACGAGACCACCATTGGTAAAGACTGTTGAAGCAACAGCTCCTTGAAGGCCAACACTACCTCCTCCATAGGCAAGTTTAATCTTTCGCCTTATCAATTCCCTTCCCAAATCTACCGCAGTAGCCATAAACTTTGGATTTCTACCAAGAGAATGACTACCAAGTAGACCAACGAATCTTATGGTATAAGGAAGTCTTCGAGAAGTTCCTTCCATAATGTGAGAATATGAGATACTCTTTCCATGATCATGATATATATAGCATCTGAAACCGGACCATTGATGGAAAAGTAATTATCACTAGCCAAAATAGGTACAGTAAAATGGATTACCTGCAAACAAGAACGTACTCAGTCTGATGATGACATGATGTATTGAGACTAATGAATAGTTTGATTCGTTGTCCTTAAATACGTTCAACCACAAGACGAAAAGTCAAATGACTATTTCCTAAGGCAACGACCTCTTGAGTAACTTCCAAAGAGTGAAACATTGAAGGAAGAAAACCTACGTTTAGTAACGATAATTCGCAAACGCTACCTTTGTATCTTGTGACTCATATCCTTGAAATACTCAAACTTGTTGTGTTAACTACACCCTTGAAAACATCTCGCTTGATCAATCTTGAAAAGATTGAATTCCATTCTTTATATCAAAATACTAAAACCATGATTCTTCATTGGAACCAAAACAATACTCAGTGATACCATGATATCGATCTTTGGAAACTATACCCTATTGAATACGTGACTCGATCACAATAGTAAAACTACCCTGACTTGAACATTATGTTGAACCTCTCTATGTGGACCACAAAACAATCAATACAATTACGATATCTCTGNCCAAAGAAGAAATGACGTCACGAGAACAAGCTGAATCATTCAAGTGAAAATCTCAAACCTATACGCGATGTTGGTGTTAGAACTTGTAAAGATTCCTCACTCTATTCATGAATTGAATTACGTACTGAAGATCTTCTCTTCTTCAAGATCAGCCATAATGCTACAATCGAACCTGTCGCTATCATATCTAGTTATATTTTCAAATTAATGAGAGAAATTTGAATACGACAAGTCGTACATGAGACGCTACTCGAACTTCATTACCTATGAATACGAAGACCCTTTAAACGATAATGGGAGCTACCATGAAGTGAATGAAGAAATGTTTCGATGCAAATCGATGATAACGAGCTATCGTACAACCAATCGACATTACTTCCTCATAAATGATGACAAATTCTATGTTCTAAAAGCCATATGTTGTTACTTACGAGTCATGTGAATGATGTGAAGATGTTTAGATTGACTTGAAAGATTACGCTATGATGCATGGATTGAAAATGAAATCCAAAATCTCCCACTACAACTATCGCGAACAGAAAACTGCAAGTGCTACTGAAGGACTTTCAATCAAAGAAAGAATGTTGTTGACTAATGATGAACAATCGAGACTTGTGAATAAACGAAGTATGTCAAATAGGCTCCAAAATACGATGTTATACCCTTCAAAGGAACCTAAAATATGGATGTTGCATTTGAACAGGAACCCGCAAAAGGATTGTTGGATACCTTGCTTAAATCTAAAGATTGTTAAACCTTTGAAAAAAAAAGAACGAGTTTGATAACATCGACAATTTGAGGATACGTATCCGTATGGATAATGACGTAATTATACCTTTGAGCATGACACGGTCATGATTAAGTGAGATCACTATGAAATGTTGAACGTTTGGGCTTAGAAGAATTTCGGGGACGAAATTCCTTTTAAGGGGGGGAGAAATGTAAAGCCCCAAAATATACCCTAGAATTATTAATAAATAAATAATCAATTAATCAAAATTTTTTATAAATGTTTGTTGGGCTTTGAGCCAAAATGAAATATGTTTAAATATTCAATATCACAATCTGGATAAATCTTATAGAGATAAATCCAATAAGTTGACTTATTGTATGATCTTGATTGGGAACCTGAGTACAGACCCAAATTAAGAATAAATGAAGAAATTGTGAACTTTGAAATGATTTATTGAAATAAATCATGGAAATAGATAATATGAATTAAATGTGAGACCTTTTTTGAATAAAATTCAATTAAACCATATTTTGACTCAACAAAGCATTATTTATATGTTTGACCAAAAATGAAGGAATTTTTAGAGTCAATGATTTTTGTTAAGATTGACTTTTATGGATAGGTCTCAAAGATACAAATCCAACGGTAGATTTTATGAATAAATCTGATGTACAGATTTTCAATTATGACATTTTAAATATGTAATTTGTATAAAAATAAGAAAAAGTCAAAGATGTGAACTTTTTGTAAAATGATTTATTGAAATAAATAATTACATTTAATAATATTGATTGAATATGAGACTAATTTTAATTACATATCAATTAATTCAATTTTGACTCTGTCAAAGTCAACACCCAAAAATATGCTGTCAGAAAAAGTATTTCAAATAAATATAAAAATTATATC